ATTGGCCCAAGGGCCAAAACGTTAATTTTTTTGTTATTACCTACCAGGGCTCAGCTCCCCACAAAACCCCTCAGAACCGCCACTCAGAAGGAACACATGGATATTGAACAACATAGTATTTGTCTTATAGATCTGTGTTATCTTGTGTTACTGGGGATTTTTAGCACGGTTAAAATGTCAGTTTGAATTGGAAACGTTTTATGTTTGACTCAACAGAGTAGGATACAAAGTGTTGTATCCAGGTCTTTTTTTCACTTCTTTCTTTTAAACTATTTTTACAGTCAACATGCTAAGTTCTAATTTGTTTGATGAAACATTTGTGAACTTAAAAAGATACTTGTGGCAGTGAAATATTGAGTTCATTTTTTGATGTGGTCGGTTGATGTATCATTGGTGGGAGAAAAAAACAAATGTTCCACCCAATTAAACAAAGTGCTAAGGTGATCATTGCACCAGAGCCATGTCATCTGTCTGTTTTGACATTATTGCAACGGAGATACTTCTCCCAAATGCCATACTGCCGAGTGCTTTGGTCTGGTTTAATTTCTTAAATGCTTTCCCTGCTAGCACGAAGCCACTTGCCAGCAGTGCTGGAAGCCATTTATGATACACTTGTTTAGTGTCAAATATGGAAGAGCTTTGCTCTCCGGAGCTTATGAGTCAAGCCCCCCCAAGCTAATTCCTAATCAGCTGGATGCCTCCTACACTTCTGTTTCATCACATGCTGATATCCTGCTCTCGACTGAAACGAGGCATGTGGATGCTTATCTGTCAGCCCCCGTGCTCTAAATAAAGGACCAAAACCAATCTCCTCTTCTTGTGCTGTCCTGAGCGGTGGCCTCACCTCGACCCCGGATTGTTCTAATTTCCCTGGCTGCGGGTCCGTGCTTTGTCATAAGGTTTAAGTGCACCTCTTTGAAAAGCTCATAATCGCAAAGTTCGCTGAAGCAGCAAATGATCCCAGCAGACCTCCAATCGTTGTAAAAGGGAGACAGAAGTAAAAGTGTACCTCATCCGTGTTTCACTCAAGCTTTGGGACCTAAATGGTTGGACATATGGAAAGAAGCTACTTCATCTTGGAGATGCATGTTATCTTTAAAATTTGTTTTAGTCACAACAGGACCAGGTAGAAAAGATGGAACTGTCTTTGTAGGGTCCAATTAAGGTCCTTCTAAGCCATAGCTGCCTCTTTATCATGGGTATTCAGACACTATGAATATTTCTCACATTAATGTTGTTTTCTTTTATCTCTGGTTATACCAAGTATTTAGAAAAATCTAAAATGAAACAATTGCTGTTGATTTTATTAGACTGTATAATATCAGTTTCAGAATGATAGGGTGTGTTTTGTTTGTACTCAGAAGTCAGGCTTACTGTTCCCAGTCAGAAATACAACAAGAATGCCCCCTTAAGTTGGAGTTCCAAATTCCTAAATCTGAGAGTGAATGAGATTGCTGTCTACGGATATTCAGTAAAACGATGGGAAAATAATGATAAAAGTGATTTATTAGCACTTCTGAGGATTTATATCTCATTTTACCAGTACCATGCATACCTGTTCTGTCCTGGCAGCTTAGGCAAACAGTATGGTGGATCGGGTTGCCCCGCAGTGTCACGGCAGATTCTCTCAACAAAAGGAGGAGAACAGAATTTTCCCCCTATTGCAGAAGTCTTGAATCAAATGGAATTCTGCTGCAGTTCGCTTGTAGTATGAATGCATGCCAGTATCAGCAGCACATTTGAGCAGAAGAAGAAGTAGAGGAAAAACAAAGTAAGAGCGCGAATCTGAAGACGAAAGAGTTTGAAAATGTCTCATGTGGTTACATGGAGTAGTAAAGTGGTGCATTTAAAAACCAAAGAAGCAACAGAAACCAGGACCAATCCTGGAACCAATCTCTGAACTGGACCAGCAGTGTGAATGCGTTCTTAAATTCAGTAGACAAACCAAAAACTTTTAATTACTTAAATGATCTTTTATTCAAAATTTGGTCAATTTCAAGTCTCATTTTCAGTAAAATCATTTGCTTTTCTTAAATAAATCAGAAACCAATATCTGTAATTTATCATTCATTTTACGATGGATGGATGGATGTGTCATCATACAAAGTCAAATAAAAGTTCAACAAGTAAAATTATTTAAAAGATCTTTGTTGGACATTAGAGAACATCTTTTCCCTAAAAGAAGGTTTGTGCACAGTTGTGATTTAAGGAGAGAAATCTCAAACAATTATCTAAGACCAACACATGAATGGCCCGAGGGAAAAATCTCTTGCATACCTATAGAGATAAGTAAAAACAGTTTAAATATCAAAACTGACAAAAGGTTTTTGTTGTTTGCTCGAAATGACCATATAAGTAAAATGATCTCCTGAATTTCCAGTCTGACTTCCAACAGGTTTGAAGAATTAAAACCAAAAAGAGCTGGATATGTCATTCCACAGGACGCTTTGACCTCAGATGAGGACTAATCCTTCCCATTCCCTTAAACAAGTAATCCCTACACAATGCAGAGAAAGAATTGTGTCTAACTGTGTACTTAAGTAATGGAGGTAAACAGGCGGTATGGACCCTTCTCTCCATCTCTGTATTCACATCCACTTACAGGGCTTTTATCACCCAGCTTTGCTCCCATACAATGCACCACAAACGGAGATGCTATCAAGTCACTACCCGAGACACCCCAGATAGTGTCTCTGCAGGCTCTGATCTTATCCTCCCATCAATGTTTCTGACTTGAACAATAGAAGAAGAAGACAGAAGGTATACTCACACCTGTTTTTGTGACTTACTAATAGCCAGAAAAGCCCAAAGATAAATTAGTTTAGCAAACCTGGCCAAATTTCTGGTCTTACTGATCCATTTCTTGGTTGAGTCATGCTTGCTGACTTTTTAAAGTAGGATCTGGACCTAACCGTCATTATGAGGGCATCTCCCAGCCCTGAGTATTATAAATCCTTGCTTTAGGCACTACTCCTCAGTGAGTTAGGGCAATCAGATGCATCAAAAGTTTTCTGAGCACAATCCCTGAAGGCCTTTTATAAATGTTTACAAGAACGTAAGACATGTGAGGCTGAGCTACACTGATGAAGCCTAATGCCAACTTCCAGACGTTTTACAAGTGGGAAAAGGTAGAACAAAATAGCATTGTTACTTTCATGGTCAGTTCTCTGAGAAGGGACAGCTCTCTCAGGAGAGCTGTCCCTTTGTTTGCTTCGTCATGCACTTTATATATTTGTACAAATGGATGCCACCTGCAAGCTGCTGCGACATATGAAACCTTTTATGGTAGTTTGTTTCTATAAAAAGTATGTTGGTTTTGTGATGTGTTTTGATGAGGTTTACACTGTGCAGCAGTGGGATTTCTATATTATACTTTGCTACTGGAAAATGACATCTTGACTTTCTGAAAAGATATCCATGGGACTGAGAAATAAGAGACGCCTTCCCAGTTAAGAACTCTTTTCACCCCATTATTTTGCCCCATTTCAGATTCCATATCGGTATTCTATAGGCAGGAGCGTGCTGTCTGGCTCTTACAACACTGCAAATAGTGACTGGGATTGTCTGGTGCAGTGCTAGATAACTTCAGATCTTATTTGATGCAGTGCAGAACTACTTTGTATCATTTGGCAATTATAAAACTGAACAGATATGAGCGGATAAATATCACGTGTGGGACTCCTGTATTCAGTGTGTATATGGTACCCATAGCTCAGATTATGGAGCACTACAGCATCTCCTACCACGCTAATGCTGATTAGACACAGTTATCGCAATCACTAGATGGTAGTAAGTGCCACCAAGGGTGACATAACCTGAGGACAATTACTTTACCACTTAGGGCCAAGTTTATTTAGAAATATTTTTCCCTTAATTAGATAATTTTACTCATTTTATTTTCCTCTGATATTAAAATGTATTTAATGATCTCAAGCATCTAAGTCTGATTCAAAACTAGCAGATACATGCTGCATGGTGGTGTTCAGACGTTATATTGACCCCCAGTTGATAAGCTGCCCTGCAATAGAAGTACAAACGGTTGCTGTTTACAACCTGAGGTTATCTGGCTACTCCTTAACGGCTGCTGTCGAGCCACTGCTCACCAGCTGCTGTTTGGCTGTATGCAACATGCATCAAAAATTAAATATATATATATATAGAACCAGAGCAACACTTAAAGCCATCAATGTTCTATGCTTAAACAGTAGCAAAAAGCACCAAGCTGTTTCTGCTGTGAAACTTCTGCCAAGTGTCTGCACCGGTGGATGGATTTGATTATTCCAGACTGCTAGGAGGGAGGAATTTTAGAAGAAAAAAGATTTGGCTGAATAACCCTGAAATATTCCAAGTATATATTGTCTGTGCAACATTCCTTCTTTAAAATAAATGTAGGTCTTCTCAGGGTAAAGAATATAAAATCATGTTGCTTTTTTTCATGCAGTTGTAACTATCCTGTTTAGTTCTTAATGAAAAAGGCTAACACTAATCTTAATAGAGTCATGTTTGTACAGTAAATGATGTGTATGACTCTCCCCAAAGCAGCTCTGGCACTAAATCGGCCATGTCTTTATGTTCATGTGTCTCAATAATTAAGAGCACCTGTAGGAATAGCAGCTGCAGCAGTAAATTCGACTCATCCCTCTGCTCAGCTGTGCGATTGGAAATCATTGTGACCTCAGAAAGACACTAATGCTTTAAATAAATATCCTGTTTGACTAATATAAAGGCTACAAAAGCACAACAGTATGGGATGTACAGCTAAAACTTACACTTAGATAGTACTGCTTTAGGTACAGCTCAGTCAGAAGGTTTAAGCACAGAAAGCTTGTCCATATTCAAATATATCAGTACTACTCTTGTCTTTTTTTTTTTCTTATTATGACCGGGCAGGTCGTGTTGCTTTTCTCTTGTTTTGGTCAGTTGACCTGTGTGGCCAATTTTCGACATGGGTAAAAAATGTACAACAGTATAACAGATCGGGAGGTATATTTTATTTCTACTGCACGGTGGCGCAGTTGGTAGCACTGTTGCTTTGCACCTAAAACTTCCTGGGTTCGACTCCCAGCCGGGTGTCATTCTGCATGGAGTTTGCATATTCTCCCTGTGCATGCATGGGTTTTCTCTGGGTACTCTGTCTTCTCTGGTCCCTAGATCTAATGGATAACATTTTGCGTCAAAATTAGGTTTGCTTCTCCACTTTTAAGAATGGGGGAACAGTTGCTGAACTTGCTTTAATGATCAGATGCATTTGCATATTGGGAACCATGAGTTTATCTACAGTATAGTTACAGGTTACCAGTGGTGTACTATATGGTTATCTACAGTGTATTTGAGAGTACCGTTTGAATACTTACTGGCTACTTACTAATACCTATGGGTACTTAATGGTTTTCTTACAGGGGAATTTATAGGGTACTTTGTGGCACCCATGGGGTAAATATTGAGAGCTTACAAGGTACTGAGAAGGTATCCAAAGGACCTGAATTGTACTTACAAAGTACCTTTTGGGAGGGAGCTCTATTATGAGATTTGACTTCCATTATATGACTCCTGTAACCTTGAAGTTTTAACATTTGTTCATAAAAATAATGTCTTATTCCTTTAGATAGTTTAGCACTTCAACTATTTTAACACTACGTTGTATCATCTAACATCTAATCAGATGTTAGATGATACACTACGTTGTATCATCTAACATCTGATTAGCCTTGCTGCAGCTTGAATTATGAAGGACGTGGTGTTTGACCATCTAGTTTTATAAGTACAACTCGTATTTTTTTAGTAGCTTCACTATAAGTCAGCACAGTGGAAAAACACAGACTCGTATAGAAAGACCCTAGACTTTCTGTTGACAACAAATCCTTAATTTTCATTCCTCAAATATAGTTTGAATAAACTTTCTGAAATGGTTAGGAAATTAAACCTTTAAATCTAGATCCATTTTGATGCATTTTCCTCTTTAAGCATATAAATGATAAGCCAGTAGTATTTCCCATAATGTTCATTGGCAAAGCTTTCTAGCAGTAGATGTCACAAACATCAATGTGACTTCATTATTTAAGCAAATAAAAATCAAGAAGAAAAGAATGAGTCCAGCAGGAGTAATTTACCATATGTCTGGTGTAGAAAATGCAGGCCTCTCTTGACTAGCCTAGGTTTATATGGTGTAATGTATCTCATATGTCTGAAGTTTTTATGAAACACCTAGGATAAGAGAAGCATGGATGCTACCCGAACTAACGCAGTAAAGAGCTGACTGTTACGCCATTGCCACTGAAATTAGCCTGAAAGTATCAGTTTAGCAACTAATTCTTGTGAACCTTTTTTTCTTTAGATATGTCTTCTTTGTAATTCGAAAGAATCTCTTAAGGAGTTGACCCAGCTAATCCCCTTTGATCTGCAGATTGAAATTTAAGCTGCAGTGTCAGCCTGACCGAAAGATGTATAAGCAGGACAGTTCTGGAAAGCTCGACCGAAGAATGTGCCTTTGCCTTCCAGAAGTCGTGGAAACACAAAGATTTGTTAAGAACAGCTTCAGTGTCTGTTGGCCTCCATCACAGTCTCAGCAGTCTATAATTCCCTTGCCTTGTTTTCAATCACATAAATCCTCTGGGAAGATGAGGAGATATATATGTTAATTCATGCTGTAGCAGAAGTTGTCAAGTAGATGTGAAAAATCATCCCCACTGTGCTCTCAAAGATAATATTTTAGACTTTTACACAGGAAGCAGAGGATGCAAAGTAATCACTCACCCAGCCAGGTTTCTTCCTGGTAATGTCAGTAAGTAGCGCTGAGGATAGTTTCTTTTCTGGAGAGGCCTTGCAAGCTCATTCAACCATACAGTACACATTCTGTTCCACATTCTGTATAAAAAAACTTGTACTCATGAACATGTACTTATTTTTTCCTCTTTCTGTAACTTTAGTTCAACTGTTTACATACATTTCCTTATTATTTGGTAGATTTGCCTTTAAGACAGTATGACTTGGGTCAAACATTTTTGAGTTCATAGTTGAGATTGTGTTTTCAAGCTTGCAACCTTCCCCCTTTTCATTGTCATCATGGCAAAACACTTAAACCTAACCATAAATTTTTGTCTCATCAGACCACTGGACATGTCTTCAAAAATGTACTTGTTTGTCTCAGAGTCCTTTTGCAAACTGTTATTTGACTTTTATAATATACAGTGCCTTGCGAAAGTATTCGGCCCCCTTGAACTGGTCAACCTCTTGCCACATTTCAGGCTTCAAACATAAAGATATAAAATTCTAATTTTTTGTGAAGAATCAACAAGAAGTGGGACACAATCATGAAGTGGAATGAAATTTATTGGACGTGTCAAACTTTTTTAACAAATAAAAAACTGAAAAGTGAGGCATGCAATATTATTCGGTCCCCTTGCATTAATACTTTGTAGCGCCACCCTTTGCTGCAATTACAGCTGCAAGTCGCTTGGGGTATGTCTCTATCAGTTTTGCACATCAAGAGACTGAAATTCTTGCCCGTTCTTCCTTACAAAACAGCTCAAGCTCAGTGAGGTTGGATGGAGAGCGTTCGTGAACAGCAGTCTTCAGCTCTTTCCACAGATTCTCGATTGGATTCAGGTCTGGACTTTGACTTGGCCATTCCAACATCTGGATACGTT